CACAATTATATTATATATGGTCATTAAGTAAGTTTGTTGGTAAATTTTCTATGTCTTTATAGACTTTTGTTTCCTTCATTCATCAGTTCCTTAGAAAGGTGTGTTTAGATCTCCCACTATGACATTGTTTGTCCTCTCCAAAATTCATGTTGAAACTTAATCCCAAATGTGGCAGTATTGAAAGATGGGGCTTTTGGCAGGGTGTGGTGGCTTATGCCTGTAATCCCAGCACTTTGCGAGGCCGAGGTGGGCAGATCACCTGAGGTCAGGAGTTCAAGATCAGCCTGGCCAACATGATAAAACCCCATCTCTACTAAAAATAGAAAAATTAGCAGAGCGTGGTGGCATATGCCCGTAATCCCACCTTTTCAGGAGGCTGAGACAGGAGAATTGCTTGGACCCAGGAGGTGGAGGTTGCAGTAAGCTGAGATCCCAGCACTATACTCCAGCCTGGGTGACAGAGTGAGACTCTATCTTAAAAAAAAAAAAGGAAGAAAGGAAAGCAAGGAAAGGAGAGGAGAGGGGAGGGGAGGGGAGAGGAGGAGAGGGGAAAAAAGGAAAGAAAGAAAGAAAGAGAGAGAGGGAGGGAGGGAGGGAGGAAAGAAGGAAGGGAGAAAGAAAGAGAGAAAGAAAGAAAGAGAAGAAAGAAAAAGAAAGAAAGAAAAAGAAAAGCAAAGAAAGAAAGAGAGGAAAGAAGGAAGGAAGAAAAGAGAGAGAGAAAGAAAGGAAGAAAAGAAAGAAAGAAAGAAAGGAAGAAGAGGAAGAAGAAAAGGAAAGAAAGAAGGAAGGAAGGAGAAGGAAGAAAGGAAAAGAAAGAGAGAAAGAAATAAAAAGAAAGAGGAAGAAAGAGAGAGAGAAGGAAAGAGAAAGAAAGAAAGAAAGGAAGGAAGGAAGGAAGAAAGAAAGAGAGGAAGGAAGGGAGGGGAAGGAAGGAAAGAAGGAAGGAAGGGAGAGAGAAAGAAAGAGAAAGAGAGGAAAGAAGGAAGAAAAGAGAGAAACAAAGGAAGAAAAGACAGAGAAAGAAAGAAGAAGAAGGAAAAGAAAAGGAAGGAAGAGAAAGAAAGGAAGAAAAAGGAAGAAAGAAAGAGAGAGAAAGAAAGAAAAAGAAAGGAAGGAAGGAAGAAGGAAGAAAGGAAAGAAGGAAGGAAGGGGAAGGAAGGAATGGAGGGAGGGAGGGGAAGGAAGGAAAGAAGGAAGGAAGCAAAAAAGAAAGAAAGAAGGAGAGAAAAGAAAGAAAGGGAAAGTGAGAAAGGAAGGAATAAAAGAGGGAAAGAAAGGAAGAAAAGAAAGAACAAGAAAGAGAGAGAAAGAGAAAGGAAGAAGAAGAGGAGGAGGAGAAGGAGAAGGAAGGAAGAAAGAAAAAAGGAAGAGAAAGAAAGGAAGAAAGAGAAAGAAGAAAGAGAGAAAAAAGAAAGAAAGAAAAGAGAAAGAGAGAAAGAAAGAAAGAAAGAAAGAAAGAAAGAAAGAAAGAAAGAAAGAAAGAAAGAAAGAAAGAGAGGGAGGGAGGGGAAGGAAGGAAAGAAGGAAGAGAGAAAGAAAAAGAGAGGAAGGAAGAAAAGAAAGGAAGAAAAGAAAGAGAGAGAGAAAGAAGAAGAAGAAGAAAAGGAAGGAAGGGAGGGAGGAAGGGAAGAAGGGAGGGAGGGAAGAAAAGGAAGGAGGAGAGAGAAAGAGAAAGAAAGGAAGAAAAAGGAAGAAAGAAAAAAGAGAGAGAAAGAAAGAAAGAAAAAAGAGAAAGAAAGAAAAAAAGAAAGGAAGGAAGGAAGGAAAGAAGGAGGGAGGGAGGGAGGGAAGGAGGAAGGAAGGAAGGAAGGGAGAGAGAGAGGGAGAAGAGAGGGGAGGGGAGGGGAGGGGAGGACAGAAGAGGAGCGCCTTTAATTGGTGGTGGGATCATAAAGGCTCTGCCCTCATGAATGGATTAACCCATTCGTGGATTAATGAGTTAACGAATTAGTGGTTTATCACAGGAATGGGACTGGTGGTTTTATAAAAAGGGGAAGAGAGACCTGAGCTAGCAGACTCAGCCTCCTCACTATGTGATGCCCTGTGCTGCCTCCAGACTCTAGAGAGTCTCCACCAACAAGAAGGCCCTCACCAGATGCATCCCCTTAACCTTGGACTTCTCAGCCTCCAGAATTATAAGAAGTCAAATCATTTCTTATTAATTACCTACTTTCGGGTATTCTGTTTTAAACAACAGATGATGAATTCCTCTTTGCAATCAGTCAAAAATTTCATTATTTTGAGGTTTATTAAATGCAAGCAAGTTACATATTTCTAGTGAATTAAAACTTTTATCAGAACCTTTTTGTCCTCTGTCTGCTAATAACTTGCTTTAAAGCCTATATTTTCTGATATCAACACAACTACACCAGCTTTTAGTTAGTACACCAGTTCTTTGTATTTACCGTTTTTATTCTTCTAATTTTTAAATTATATGATTTATTAAAGTTGATTTAGAAGTCTTATTTCAAATCTCAAGTTCAAATTTCAGATTTTTTTTTTTTAAGATGGAATCTTGCTCTTGTTGCCCAGGCTGGAGTGCAGAGGCACCATCTCAGCTCACTGCAACCTCCGCCTCCTGGGTTCAAGCGATTCTCCTGCCTGAGCCTCCCGAGTAGCTGGGATTACAGGTGTGCGCCATCATGCCTGGCTAATTTTGCATTTTTAGTAGAGATAGGATTTCTCCATGTTGGTCAGGCTGGTCTCAAACTCCCGACCTCAGGTGATCTGCCTGCCTCGGCCTCCCAAAGTTCTGGGACTACAAGCGTGAGCCACAGTGCCCGGCAATTTCAGATATTATTAAAGATGTTTGGTAAGTTTTTTGGCACACAGAAAGTACCGGAAAATCTAGTATAGTCCAATAACTACCCACCTACCATGTACCCACTGCCACAATTAAAAACTTATTACTTTGCCACATTTGCTTTATCTGCATCTTTTTTTTAATTAGGGCATGTGTTTGCATAAGCCTAATGCCATTATCACACTTAATAAAGTAAATAATTCCTTAATATTCTTTAATATCCAGTCTCTATTTAAAATTTTCCAATTATCCCAGATAGCTCTTATAGTTTTCACATTTACTTGTTTTGCATGTAACATTTCTATCTAGGGCAGCTTTCACATACCCCCGATTTTTCTCCTGGATAACTTTTTAACACATCAGACCAGTTGTCACGCAAAATGTCTACCATTTCCATTTCAGTCTTTGTGTGTGTGTGTGTGTGTGTGTGTGTGTGTGTATACATATATGTGTATATATATTTTAGGCAGTCTCACTATGTTGCACAAGCTGTTCTCTAACTCCTAGACTCAAGGGATCTTCCTGCCTCAGCCTCCCAACTAGCTGGGATTACAGGCAGACACCACCGTACTGATTTTATTTATATTTTATCTGAGTTTTTATATTTTGAACGTATCAGCTGTAAACTGTATTCCCTAGATTTGCTTTTAATCCAGTGTAATGTTTGCCTTTTACTTTGCAAATTTAGTCCACTTAGGATTACCTATATATTTGGAATTAGTTCCTCATTCTATTTTTTTATTTCTATACATGTCATCTGTTTTATGTAATTTTTTTCTCATTTATTATGTGGTTTGGTTTTGGGTTTTTTGGTTTGGTTTTGTTTTGTTGTTGTTTTTAATTGAACCAGGTGCTTTTGTTTCGCCTTTTTGTGTTTGTTTTTCTCATTCCTTTTTCCCCCATACTTAATTTGGAGGTTTACATTCTATGTGTCCCCCTCACCTTATACCATGTGAGACAGCGAGCTTCCAAAGACCTACTGCTTATTGGCCTGTGTCCCTTAAGTTTGGGGAGCCTGAGAACTGGCATTAAGTGCTACATCTAAAGACCTGGGACAAAAAAAAAAAAAAAAAAAGGAGACTGTACTGAAAGAAAATGATTCTTCTACCAACACTAGGACATAAATGGGCAGGTGTTTACCCTACACCAGATGTGGAAGGAGCTGGCATGGAGCCCTTTGTAAATCCTGCCCAGGCCTCCAACAGACAGAACTGTCCCCAGACAACCTGGAGATGAAGGAAACATTCACAAGCAAGTAGGGAAGCATCACCCTGTGGAAGGAAAGACCGTCGGCCCCAGGAGAGTATCTCTGAGGAATACTCGAAGAAAAGCACTTCAGAAAAATGGTCACTTTGAACACCTGCCAAGCCCAGCGAGCAACAGCTGCAAGACCTCAAATGACCATTCACACAACATGGCACTTTCTCCCAGCCTGACCCGTAAGGGCTCAGCAGCAGGGATGTCAGCCATAAGCCCAGCCACATCCCTAACCCACTAAGCTCTCAAGCAACATTTGCACCATGTGACCCACCATCAGGCATAGGTGATACGTCTAGTGGAGATCACCTGACCCAAAGGTAGCCAATGGGAAAGCTGAGTTAGCTGGCGAACTGAGCCTATCAGATTATCTCCTGGGGGTGGCACTGGGAGCGTGGACCCGCAGACAGACCGCAGGGAAATAATCTGAACAGATGTGGGAGGAGAAGAGCAGGCAGGAATGTGGGTCAGAGACTTGGGGATCATGGCAAGCAGATGCGGTGAGGAAGCAGGAGTGCCAAGGAGATGGAAGCAACAAGGCGGAGGGAAGACGTGTAGAGCAGAGGAAAACAATAGAAATTTTAGTAAGATTGGCAAGCACCTATACTAAATTTCCTGATAGCCAAGGACTTTTTTTTTTCAACTCGGCTGAGCATCTACAGACACCAGCTGCTGAGTCTCAGAGGCCATCCCAGATCTAGTTCCAGGCCAAGAGTCCCAGCTGTCTGCTGGTTTCTATTCTTGTGTATTACGTCTGTCTGTCTCCCTTCCGCCTCACATGTATTCTGACGACCAGAAACGCCCTCTAGTTGAGATAACTGGAGCTGGACCCTGCTTGCTGCAATGCAAATAACACAGCACGCAAAAAGAAAGTGAAAGAAAACCCTGGCTAGGAAGAGAGCCCGGCTGTTCCCTGAACAGAATTCACACCAGGCAGTTCTTGCTGCATTTCCCCCAATAAAATCCTCCCTCGTTGTACTTTATTTTATTCTGTGAAAATAAGCCTTATTATAAATCACAATGAAATCCACAAACCAAACCCCAAACTCTAGCAGAACAAGATCCCCTTGGTGTATAAAGTCATCGCTGACAGGACAGTCTTTTTCAGTTATTGCTTTTGTCGCTTGTTTCTTGAGAACATGACTCCAATAAGGCCCATGGCTGCCAAGCCCATTCCTGCAACGCTTGCAGCGATGACGACATCTCTGACCTGCAACAAAGAGGAGGGTGGGTCAGACTCTGCGTCAGGATTCAGAGTACAGGCTGCATATTCAGCAGGAACATTCAGCTCGGGGTACCTCACATGCCCCTTGGCCTCCCTGGCCAAACTAAGGAGTCAACAAACATTGGTAGGGAAGAGGGGAGGAGAGAGCTGGATGGGGAAAGAATTCGTGACTAGAGCCAGCTGGCCTGAAATTTACATGGAACCAAAGATGGAAAACTGGATTCACCATGTGGGTATTTAAAGCATATAAATCCTCAGAGTGTGGCTGTGGAAAGGACAGGGAGCTGATGCAAGGATGGTCAAGATCTTGGCTGGCCAATGGGGAGCTCTAGAAGCAAAGGTGGAGTCAGGGAGGAATTGTTATTGAGTACTCAGTAGCCTATGACCTCCATGAGAGCAAGGAACTCGGCTGTCTTGTTCATCACTGTATCCCCAGTGCTCGGTCCTGCCAGGCATGGAGGATGGAGGTACTCTTCACATGTTCTTAAATAAATGACTCAACTACACATAGTAGTGATGTTATACTTAGAATTATTAGGATATCTGACTTGTTTGTAGGAGGAAAAAAAGGGTTTCAAAAGTAAAAGTAAATTCCCAGGTAAAAATTGAATATATGTCCAATTTTACTGCCTCCTGAAACTCAACTAAAAGTAAACTAAGGCATTTGTTTAAGGCATAATTCCACAAGAATTCAGAAAACACTAAATCCTAAGGCAGCAGTGAAAAAAACTGAGGATAAACCCTAATTATACAAAAGAATACTCCAAAAGGATCACATATTAAACCCAGGTGCCTCTGGAAGTGGGAAAGAATGAAAGAGAGCTTTAGCTGGTCCCTGAACCTCCTCCCTGACCCCCAACAGAAGTCTGAAAGTGTATTCTCTGCAGAGGGTACAACAGAAGGCTTAGGGGCCTAGAAACCTGGAAGCACATGTGAGAATGTGGGTATCATACCACAAACAAGAGATTGAGACTGTAAAGATGCTAAATGTGAGACTCCCAGACCTCCTACCCCTCTCTGTTCCCAGAACTTTACCCTCCACGCAAGAGTCCAGAAGACTTTTCTGGGGAATCTGGCCCAAATGCAAATAACAAAAGATACCAAAACTGGGAATTCCCAAACAGCCCACCCAGATCATCCTGCAGTGAAACTCAAAGTCAGCAAGCCACTGCCCCATGCCCACCTCCACTCACTCAGAGCTCCATCCAGTAGCAAACCCCCACTTTTTTTTTTTTGACAAACTGAAAACTGTTCAGCAAACAGTATGAAAGAGGTGAGATGCTCAGCTGGGTACAGTGGCTCACGCCTGTAATCCCAGCACTTTGGGAGGCTGAGACAGGTGGATCACTTGAGGCCAGGAGTTCCAGACAAACCCAGCCAACGTGGCAAAACCCCGTCTCTACAAAAAATACAAAAATTAGCCAGGCCTGGTGGGCATGTGCCTATAGTCCCAGGTACTCAGGAGGCTGAGGCAGGAAAATCACTTGAACCTGGGAAGTGGAATTTGCAGTGAGCAAAGATCGCACCATTGGGCTCCATCCTGCGCAACACAGCAAGAAAGAGGTGAGATACTCTGTTTATACAAATCATAATGAAGTGATCTCAACAACATAATGATTTTACAGTATACATTAGAGGCCAGTATATATAGAGGGTAAGAGAATAATAACAAAGAAAACACAGGGAGAAAGAATTAGCATCTCTTTCCTAATCTATGAAGTTGAATAATAAATCTTGGTCAAAATAATTTTCTGATAGTAAGACAGTGAGTATTACTGTGTATAAAACTGAAAAACCAAAACTATAAATATAAGAAAGGTGGCTTTACACAAGTACCATTTGACAGAAATGTTATTTGTAATTTCTCTTGGAAAAAAAGAAATGTTTAAGATACTTTAAGGATTCTAAAATAAAAAGAACCAATACATATTTAGCTTAACAAATTTAAGAGGAGAAATTGTATTTAGATGTTGTAATTTTAAAACCTAGGGCACACAACATTTAACCAACAGACCTTGTTTTTAGGATATAATTTGTTAACTATTTTAGTTTACACTAAGTAATATGAATTGGTTTTCTTTGAATTCAACTGAACATGATGGCTGCAAGTGCACTTTTTTTTTTTTTTTTTTTGAGACTGAGTTTTGCTCTTATTTCCCAGGCTGGAGTGCAGTGGCACAATCTCGGCTCACAGCAATCTCCGCCTTCCGGTTTCCAGTGATTCTCCTGCCTCGGCCTCCCAAGTAGTTGGGATTACAGGTGCCCGCTACCACACCTGGCTAATTTTTGTATTTTTAGTACAGACGGGGTTTTACCATGTTGGCCAGACTGCTCTCAAACCCCTGACCTTGTGATTCACCCACCTCGGCCTCCCAAAGTGCTGGGATTACAGGTGTGAGCCACCATGCCCCACCCAGCAAGCGCACCTTTAATCATGAGCATACAACCAACATACCAAACATCTAAAGAAGGCCTCTAAATTGAAGACAAAAACAAATAGCAATCTGGAGAAACAGAAACCATATCTAGAAAAGAAACCATCCTTTTAAAAACTATCATTAGATCGCTTCTCGGCCTTTTGGCTAAGATCGAGTGTAAAAATTATCATTGGAGAATAACAGCATATTGCATCCAAAAGAAAACATCCTTTTAAAAACCATCATTAGATCGCTTCTCGGCCTTTTGGCTAAGATCGAGTGTAAAACTTATCACTGGAGAATAAGACAGTATATTGCATCCAATAAATAAGAACATGGTACTATAAAAAATAATGGAATATTGAGAAAATAAAAATGGTTCATAGAAAATAAAAATATGACAGAAATAACAAACTCAATAGAAAGGTTGACTTAAGGAAATCTCTCAAAAGGAATAGCAAAAAAATAAAGAAATAGAAACCAAAGTAAAAAACAACAACAACAAAACAATCTGGCCGGGTGCAGTGGCTCACGCCTGTAATCCCAGCACTTTGGGAGGCCAAGGCAGGCGGATTGCTTGAGCTCAGGAGTTCAAGACCAGCCTGGTCAACATGGTGAAACCCCATCTGTACAAAAAATACAAGAAATTAGCCAGCCATGGTGGTGGGCACCTGTAATCCCAGCTACTTGGGAGACTGAGGCAGGAGAATCACTAGAACCCGGAAGGCAGAGGTTGCAGTGCGAGATGGTGCTGCTGCACTCCAGCCCAGACAACAGAGCAAGACTCCATCTCAAAAGAAAAAAGAAGAAGAAAAAAAAAGAAATAGTGCTCTGAGTCCCATCTTAATCGATAAAAGTAGACCTACACAAAGGCACATTACTATGAAATTTTAGAAGATTGTGTAAAGATATTACAGCATTTAGAGCAGGGAGAAAAACAGGAAATGGAGAAAAGGTCAGGAATCAGGATGGCTTTGGACTTCTCAAAAGCAATTCTGGAAGCAAGAAGACAATGGAGCAATGCCTCCAAAACTCTGAAGTGAAACCATTTCCAACCTGGAATTCTATACCCAGACAAAGTATCAAATCGAGTGAGAGGGTAAAATGACAAGTAATTCAGACATACGGGGTTTCAAAGAATTGACCTCCCATGCATCCTTTTACAGAAAGCTGCTGAAAATGGTTCCCCCCAAACAGGGGAGTAAATGGGAAAAGTAGAAGACGTGAGATAGAGAAAATGGGCCTTCTAGTACTAGAGAGACTGCATGGGAATCTCCCCAGAATGACAGTGAAGGGAGATCCCAGGATAACAGCTTAGTACCAGGTATAAAGAATAACTGGTAGGCAGAGTAATAAGCCCCAAAAGTGTCCATGTCCTAATTTCAGGAATCTATAAATATATCATGCTACATAGCAAGTGAGAATTAAGGTTACAGATGGAATTAAGGCTGCTAATCAATTTACCTCAAAATAGGGAAATTATCGGCCTGGCGCGGTGGCTCACACCTGTAATCCCAGCACTTTGGGAGGCCGAGGAAGGTGGATCACGAGGTTAGGAGTTCAAGACCAGCCTGGCCAATATGGTGAAACCCCATCTCTACTAAAAATACAAAAATTAGCCAGGCGTGGTGGCGGGTGTGTGTAATCCGAGCTACTCGGGAGGCTGAGGCAGGAGAACCGTTTGAACCCAGGAGGCAGAGGTTGCGGTGAGCCGAGATCATGCCACTGCACTCCAGCCTGGGCAACAGAGCAAGACTCTGTCTCAAAAAACTAAAAACAAAAGAAAAGAGGAAATTATCCTAGATTATTCAGGTGGGCCCAATGTAATTACAAAGTTCCTTAAAATGTAGAAGACAGACCGAAGAGTCAGTGTCACAGTGATGCAATATAAGACTCAACCAGCCATTGCTCTAGCTTTGAAGATAGATGGGGACTATACGCCAAGGAATGCCAGTAAGCTCTAGAAGTTGGAAAAGGCAAGAAAATTGATTCTCTCCTACAGGCACCAGAAAAGAATGTCAATGCTTTGATTTTAGCCCAGTGAAACTCATTTTAGACTTCTGACCCACAGAACTGTTGCTAATAAATTGTGGAGTCTTAAGCCACTAACTTTGTAGTAACTTGTTACAGCAGCAATAGGAAAATAATGCACTTATCAATCCAGATTGGAGCATTGTGACTTCAGAGCCCAGCATGTTGAGGACTGCCATAACCATCATCCTCTCCCATTGTACTGTGTTTCTAACCTAAAGCAACTTCCGGAGGATGTGATCTACCTAAATAAGAGAAAGAACAAAGAAACAGAAAACTAAGAAATCATAGAATCAGAGAACACAATCCAAGAGAAGGAAAGGAAATCCCAAGGATGACAGCAAAGGGGAGTCCAGGATGACAGCCATGCAATTGGCCAAGGAGCAACCAGCACAGAGGGAAGAAGGGCCATCCCTGGGATAGATGTGTCCAAGCAAAATAAACAAGAACTGGTAGATTACTTGATGTGATTTCCCTTGTGGAGAACTGTACCGAGAGCTAATTGGATCGTGTGGGAAGAATTGACAATAGATACAA